GAAAAAGCCCCTACAAAATAATGAAGAAAACACCCTTAGAAGGCCTAACGCCACATTTCACGGTACCATGTACTTACTTGGTTCTTGTGTGGCCTTCAAGTGAAATTCTTCCCAGTATGCCAATGATACAAAAACATCCAGATCCCACCGATGTGGATTATCAAATCGACAAAATTGATTGGTGTTATAATTAAATAATTTCCCGGATCACACTGGAATTTCCAAACGTTCCTCTCGCTTAGCCCTCGTTCTAGAAGAATCAACCGAACAAAATGGCGTGATTTTCTCACCTCGTCAAGAAAAACGCCAAACCTCAAAATTAGACAATTCTACAAGTCGACATCAACTTGAGGCAGAAGAACGTTCCGGAATACAATTCCACTCCGGAGTACACAATAAACGATTCCTCAAAACGATCATGAATAACCCCTACAACTTGGAAAAATGCTCAAAATAGGACAAAAATACCCAAAACAAAAGAACCCATTGCGGAAATTCGGAAATCTCTCCGAAATCTCTCCAGATCAAAATATTACCCATATGGCGACATCTATTACCGCAATCCAAATTCAGCCTTAGGCGATTTTACGCGGACCACTGTTCCAGATCTGAAATCGCGTTGCCACGATGCGAAATAGTCAAAAGAGAATAGAACACAGCACAGTGCACTAGGAAAACAATTCGACCAGAGCACCTTGCCCTTGCACCGGGTGGCAGGTGGCACCCGTTCAGCTGTTTCAACAAGTAAACAAACTGAGCCAGAAATAATAGTCAATAATCAAGAAAATGCTTTTCACCATATTATGTTTCTTTCAAGAAAACAATCAAGAAATACAATCGAAGAAATTCAGAAAATACGAGAAATACCCAGTGATATGAACTCTCTAGGGTGAGCAAAACCAATAGCAACATAATGAAAATTAGGAACGTAACAGCATATACAGTGCAATGCTCTAACCAACTGAGCTACCGAGACGTGTCTCACTTCTACCTTGTCGGTCACGCCTTCCATCAATTTTGAGTTGTTAGTTGTGGAGGGCCAACGGCAACATTCGGCGGTTACCGTTGGTATGATAGTGAATTAGAAGGTATTAGGATAACACATTCGCAATTAATGGTTGTTAGAATCCATTATCCTTTCAACCACAGATGTGTCATTGACATCGTAGATCACAACTGAGATCTCACTCTCCTTCTAATGACTCTCAGCCTTCGACTGAGAAGTTACGACGGTACAATTTTCTAAAGAAACATCGATCTGGTGAACTGGATAACAACGCAGTAATACCACCTGACAATGCCCAGATCAAGGCTAGAACTGCCTCAGAATTGACACGCGTGAAAGGTACCTGTTAGAAGCACTCGATTTGAAACTCATAAAGAACGGAGGTCCGAACTGCTAAGAAGTAATCAATTACACGATAGCGACATCAAATCATCTTTGAGTTTGAAAGAAATTGGCAATAGATCGCCATTAAACCGGAAATTATAAGACTGGTAGATTACGACTGCTGATTCAGAAGGTCAATATCTTCCTTCAAACAGCCGCTCTACAGATTCCTATGAAGACGAGCACTATGAGTGCTACGGCCGTCTATAGTTGCCAAGAGGAAACTGGTAGTAATTTTTCTAGTTCCCGTGATGTCAGTCTGCGGAAGAAAAGGAATGAAGTATGATCTAGAACATAGATAGAGAGGACGTGTCGTTGTTCGCAAAGACATGGTACTACTGCCTACTGGTAGCCGGAAGATAGAAAATAATATATGGAATCATTATGGATCTGATTTGACAGAGTCATTGCATTAGTACGCAGATGCCGCAGAGGTTCTTTAGTTCATAGGAGCCCAAGCACCAGTGGTTATTCCTGAATTGTATTGTTTCATTGTATACTCAAATAATCGAAACATAAACGCACGTGTTTCTAGAGAATTCCGGGTTATTAATTTCTGCGTAATAACCACGTAGTTTATAATCTAATACCTAAGTCAGTTTAAATAAAATATTTGTTGGGTACAGGCGATTAGTGACAGTAATTTGTTCAAGTTGGTACGGTTATTAGTGGACCCGAAATCCGTGCAAATACTTTTCTTTGATTGATGAATCGCCAAATTCGTGTTTTTACCTTCACGTCGAAGTATATGATATTTTCAATCTGTATTCCGAGGTAGCCTGATATGAAACACATTCGTGTCTAAAAATTATATTTTTGCCATATTTCCGGCCAAAAGGAAATCAATGTAGCAACAGTTTACTTCTATGCGATCGATTATCGATTCTTCTGGTTCTTCTTGATAATTTAGAATGGTGAATTACCACTCGTTTGGCATTTCTCAGACCTATAAATTTAGCAGGTACTTAATATATCTTCAATAACATTTCAAACTGTAATATAACATACCCGGGTTCGTTCAGCAAGATTAAAGGGTGAATTTTTTTATTATCTATTTTTAAAACAAATCTTCTGAAAAACGAAATGGAAAACAAATAGGACCTACGTTGTCGAAACTTACTCAATTTTACTTACTTGACATGCGCCCCGACAATAGCAAAATTAGGGAAATTTGAGGGAAGTTGTGATATGTAAAAAACGAAAAATTTGTGAAACGTCTAATTTATTATTAAAGAAAACCGTACCGTTCTCGACCTGGAATTCACGAGTGGAAAGAGCACGGCAGAGAAACCCTTGATCTCAAAAATCAAAACATACTGTGTCATTTTAATAATAATTGTGATTCAATAAAAGTTTAAATTAAGTACGGTACCGTCCCTGTCCTTGTGCTAAAATTTCAATTCCACACACTACATTCAATCAACACCACCTACATTCAATACTGAAGAGTTTTTGGTTAGTTAGCCAGTCTGCAAGCAGGTACTGAGGTCCCATTGGGAAGGCTACTCAGCTTAGTTGTTATTTTGAGCCAATATCTCTAGACTGATTTTTCAATTTGTTTGCTAGGATATTTGCTCGTCAGGGTAGGAAAGTGTAAGTAGATTGAACAAGGCCCTAATGTACGCTCTGAAACCAAAAAAAGGCAGCACATAATTTCTTAGGTTTTAATTTACTTTTTTATCTGCGTTGTTCACAGCATGAAACGATTTTGGTTAAATACAGTGACCGCCAAAAAGTTTGCAACAAATGGGAAAATATTATTAAAATATCAAAAAGAATGTTACGTGGGATCAATAATTCAGCATACATATCAACAAAAAAAAGCACTGTGACAGATGTCATGTGACCACAGTTATGGCGGGAAATTTAAAAAGTGCGCCTCGAATATGTAAAAAGTGGGGTTAGATGACCAAAAATCGAAAATTGTAGAGAGAAAAGTGGTTCAGAATCAATTTTTGAAAAGGTACAAGGATTTTTAATAAATATCAATTTTTTGATCTGTTTTCTGGTAATTTGGAGAATATTAAAAACTTTTCGGAAAAATATTGGTTTAATTAAATTTAGAAAAGAGGTATTGGATCATTTAGATAGATTTTATAAGAATTCCAAATTTGTTATTTCAAATTTTTGCTTTCTGTAGGTCATTGCAACAAGATCAGAGCGGTCTGAAAATTAATTTTTGGGTTTTTACAATTTTCCACGGGACAATTAAGCAGAATGACTGCACTGGATTTTTTTTTGGTTAGTTTCACTTTGAATTATGTGAACCAAGCGAAAAGTTTTTGATATTTTTCAAATTACCAGAAAACAGGCCAAAAAATTGATATTTATTAAAAATCCTTGTACCTTTTTATAAATTCACACATAGACGTAAAATCGAATCCTGAACCACTTTTCTCTCTACAATTTTTCGATTTCTGATCATCTAGCCCCACTTTTTACATATTCGAGGCGCACTTTTTAAATTTCCCGCCATAACTGTGGTCACATGACATCTGTCACAGTGCTTTTTTGTGTTGATGGGTATGCTGAATCGATCCCACGTAACATTCTCTTTGATATCTTAATAACAAAATATTTTCCCATTTATTGCAAACTTTTAGTCGGTCACTGTATATGAACAATGCACATGTCATGAAAAATGTTATAAATAAAACAAAAAAACATAAAAATAAAAAAATAATACTTGCATATGTATAGTCCGTTGCATGGTTCTTGAGCTACGACTACTGAATAGACAGAGGGAACAATGGGCTATTGCTGCGTTGTCATATCAATAATATTTATTATTACATGAAAATGAAGGAAATTTTATTGCAATTTTCATGTATTAATAAATATTATCGATATGAAAATGCAGCAATAGCCCATTGTCCCCTCTGTCTATTCAATAGCCGTAGCTCAAGAACCATGCAACGGACTATAAATTGAACTCTCAAAAACAAAATAACATTTATTCAACTGACCTGTGAATGCTCCTTATGACCCACAAACTAATCACAAATTGGCTTGAAAAATCAGTTTAATACAAAATAAAAATTGAATAATGAACAATGGCGGACACGCTTGTTCCCTCTGGTTTCTCATTTGTTATCTACCTACCCTTCGGTACTTGTGGCGCGCCGCCGTTCCCATAAATTTCACAGCGCATACATGGTGGCAACATTCGCTTTAATTTAGTAAACGTTCTTGAAGAATTAAAGATTTGAAGAAATAAAATTCTAAATAGGTGGTTTTCCTCAAAACACTCACGATGGAAATGTCTCTTATGAAAGAATGGTGATGGAAACAATGATATGGTACGAATTTTCATGATTCAAATTTATTATATAAATGCTTCCCTAGCACATCATTTTAATTAAAAAAAGTCACATTTCCACATTACATACATGTGCTGACAGTTTCCGCTAATGGAGCTACAAAAAATATTGACCCATTTGTAGATAAAACCGACTTCTTTTCCAACAAGCTTGAGTGCCTCGCTTAAGAAAGAACCCGATGAGTCGGGTCCTGTCTAAACCTCTCAAACTAGAATTTAACAGTCTATTAGCTGAGTAAAAATTTATCAAGGACGTTCAATTAACGAAAAAAATTATTTATAATTTTTCAGGTTCCATATCCAACTTAAATTCCATGAAACTTATTTTTGGAGAATGCCCCGTATTTCTTTACGAAAGATGCATACATCCCGAATTGGTGAAATTTTCATTATCCATTCCATATGAAAACGACAATTTGATATACGAATTGGATCCATTAAATCTAGAACTGCCTAGGGAATTTAATCCCTTAGTAAGTGTATTCAGTGCTTATTCATAATTACCAAATACGTATCTGTATTTTAGATTCCTCTAAAGGTTGTGATACATGGATATGGGGGTTTGGATATTGATATTAGTACTGGTAACGTCACCAAGGCATACCAGGACGTTGGTTATAATATTATAATAGGTAAAATACGAATTTAAACGATATAAATATTTTTGAATTTATTTAAGCATTGTTTTTCTTGTTCAGTTGATTGGGAGCCTTTAGCGGAAATTCCATGTTACACCACTGCGTACTTAAACACATGGTACGTAGCACAATGCATTACAATTTTACTGGTAGGATTGGTTCCACTTGGGATAAACCCTCAAATTATACATGTAGTTGGATTTAGTCTTGGTGCGCATGTGTCAGGACTGGTGGGCAATAATTTGCAAAAAACATTGGGCTCTTCTTTTTACAGAATCACTGGTAAATTTCTCTAATCGACTATATAATAGGATACTTTATAAAATCATCACAAAGTCATTTTCTCGATTTTTGTAAATATTTTTCAGGTCTCGATCCGGCTCTGCCATTTTTCGCAACGCTGAATAACGACTGGAAACTAGATAAAACTGATGCAGATTTTGTTGATGTAATTCACACGAGCGCTGGCACATTTGGGAAACTGGAAGCGACCGGCCATGTCGATTTTTATGTGAATGGAGGATCATTGCAGCCCACTTGTCAATACAGGAAATGTAATTACGTCCCGCTATTATATTTCAACTTCAAACAAAGAGAAAAAGCAGCAATCCCAATTCAATTCACTCTGTCATGTGTTCCAGTATTTGTTGCAAACCATTAAAATCGGTCTGGGGCTGGCTTGCGGTCTAGCCAACTTTTAAGTTTTAGCTGTCCGATGTTCGTTTCGGTTTTATACAGGGTGTGCAAATAAATGCAACAAAATTTGTTCAAAAATTCTTAAAAAAAAAAATAGGTGTATTTTTTATTTTTGGTTAATGCCCCACCCCTCTACCCTCCCTTCGAGGTTACAGCTCCTTAAAATTCGCCCTAAGCATAGTATTTTTAACATTGGAAATGTTTATGTTCTCGCCTATAAGGCGGTTACACACGGACGTGGATGTCTGAAAACATGTACGCACATACATGAACGTGCAGACAAAAACATCAATGTGTATGCAAAATACCGTCGCATTTTTGAATGTGCAATTTTGTATGCACACTCGGAACACTGTAGCAAGAATAGCAAGACTGCAGTTTTGTGCGAGCGTCTGTACAAAAGCGCCATGCACGTTGTTGTTTGCACGTTGATGTATGCACGTATATGTATTAAGACATCCACGTCCGTGTGTAACCGCCCATATGGGGATCAAATTCGAAGTTTTCGTTCAAGGTCAAAAGACGGCGGTGTGACCAGGGGCGTGCGGTGAAATTTGAAGTACAAGGCGAAGCGTGTCGCAGTGGTCACAGTGCTTACTGCGCCTCGCGGGCAAACAGCAGCGCTCCTCAAGGATTTTATTGTTATCTGGGCGATCAAAATTAAAGAAAAAAATAATAATATGGCGACTATAGGATAATGGGAGAAAAATCATAGTATTTAGCGTTTGTTCTATTGCAGTGCTGTCCAACAAGAAGTCCGCGGGCCGCATGTGGCCCGTGGCAGCACTTTTTGCGGCCTGCGGAGCAGGACCCCAAATTTATAAATTACTCTCAAATATGAAATATGCACAATGCTTACATTCATGATAAAACGCAAATAAAAAAACATGTGACGCCACTGGCGAAAGATAGAAAGTCGCAGCGAAGTTACTGGAATTCGGACCGATATTGCTCGACAATAGTTTTGTTTTGGTTTCTCTCAGAACTAGTTCGAAAATCGAAATCATTCTGCGCATGCGCATAATATAAAACGCGTTTTCGTTTTTTCAGAATCGTAATCGAACTGTGTTGACAGTGTTTTGGTTTATCTAGAACTATTTAAGAACAATTCTGGGATTGTTCTAGAACGGTTCTCTCAGTTCTTGTTCTGAAGGAGGAACTGTTTCAGAATTTTGTGATTTGCGGCGTGTTTTGGTTTCTTTGGTTCCGAATCAGTTCAGAACTAGTATTAGAACATTCCTCTATTATTTTTGTGCGCAAGCAGTTCTGCGCAATCCCAGAACCGTTCCAAATTTCGAAACAAATCAAAGCTAATATTCGGGAAGACACCTGGCACGTATGTCGTATATAGGAACGCGTTTTTTCTTTGTATACCATGCCTATTAAAACTCACAAATGAAGTTGCATTCGTAGTATTTTATAATGCGGCCCTCCAAACCGTAATTTTGTTTAAAGTGGCTCTTGGGGCTCTTGAAGTTGGACAGCCCTGTTCTATTGGATGGGGATTTCAATAAAATAATAGATATTTACGATAGAAGTGAGTTAACAGCAGACTTGAGATACGCGTGTGGAAGTTGCACTCGTGCTACGCATTCGTTTTATCTCACTGACGTAGATAAATATATATTTTGTGTTAAATAGTTTCCATATAATGGTGTTGTCATTTCCAATGTCTCCGATGGTTGCAAAGATTGCAAAATCTGTGAATTTTTTTATTTCTCAAAAACCTATTGTACGAGAATCACTGTTTGGTACAGAGCGGTTTTATAACATGGAAGTTGGATGGTGCTACGCTGAATTTATTTCCGGACACCCTGTATAATGCACCCTGAAAGCGTTAAAATTGCTTGCTTATTGACTGATATAATTTATCTTGCTATAATATCTATGTTATATCGGTCCTAGGACCGATCAAGTTGATAATTGAAGTCTTTATTTTGCATATTGATAATAATTTTTTTTTTTTCAAGATCCACCCCTTTGCAGTCATATTATGGCAGGCTTGTACTTCGCAGAATCAATAAGAAACTCCGTATTCGGTGGCAAATCTTTCCTGGCAAGAAAATGTGATAATGTTGCACACTATTTATTAGGATTGTGTAATGGCAACGGAAATATGGCCCTTATGGGTGAAAATGTGTTTTACTTGTGAGTTTCATTAATAATTGGTGATAAATGACTTGGTAAAATATATTTGCTTTTCCAGGACACGAGGAACCTATTATCTAGAAACAGCAGACAAACCCCCATACGCATTGGGTTTCACCTCAAACTACCCGAGAAAAAAAAAGTTTCTAGATTTATTAAACGAAATAAGTAGCAAATTCAGGGATTTTCTTTAACATGTAGCAATGAGATTTACAATAACACTATTTTACAAGTTTATGTATGTCGGCACAAGGTGTTCAACTATATAGAGGTTAATAAAGATAAAAAATTGTAGATAAAAAAGCAACTCACCTTCCCTTAAAATATATCCCAAAGACTTAATTTCTTTGACTCCAAATTTACATTTTTGTAATTTTAAGTGAAAACCAAACTCTTCTACATGCCTTAGGACAAAATTTAAATTTTGAAAATGTTCTTCCTCTTATTGGCTTGATACTAAAATGTCATCGATATATGTCGTGGTTCCTTCCAGACCTGATAACATGGTATCCATTACTTGTTGAAAAATGGCTGGGGCAACTTTTATACCAAATGGCATTCTATTGTATTGAACAATTCATGATGAGTGTTTATTGTTATATATTTTCTTGATTCTTCACTGATTTCAATTTGAAGGAAAGCATCAGAAAGGTCAATGATACTAAAAATTGTAGCATTTTGTAAGTTTGAAAAAATTTCTTCGACTGTTGGAAGAGGTTAATGATGTGATAGAAGTGCTTCATTGAGACCAGTAGAGTAATCGCCACATATTCTGACATCTCCGTTGTATTTCTTTGTCACTACAATTGGAGCTGCCCAATCAGGATATTCAACTAATGATATGATATTTTTTTCTTGCAACCTGACAATTTCTTGGTCAACTTTATTCATGACTGAATAAGCTACTGGTCTTTTTGCTTTGAAAATAGGAGTTGCATCTCTTTTTATATAAATATTAACTTTGATTTTTTACAGTGACCTAATGTTTCTTGAAAAACTTTAGGAAAAGCTAATTTTAATGATTTTGTATTAATTGAAAATGATTTTGATTTAACAACATTGCAGACTGAATTGAATGGTACGTTCCATAAACCAAATTTTGTGATCCAATATATACCCAGTAAATTGAGATTAGGTATTGAAGTGATAAAACATTTACCCTGAAAATTATTTTGTTTGAAGCTTAATGAAATTCTGCTCTTAAATTGATTCTATCACCTGAAGCGCTTTTGGCATCATGATTTGTAGGCTGACACTCGGGTTTTCCTATATTTGTCCATATCGGTTTCTTGTGAGATAACCGTGATATCTGAAGCTGTATCAATTTGTAACCTGATTGGAATATTATTGATTTTGACTTGAAGAAATTTTCTTTCACCCAATATGATCATAAATGGCATTTGATCTTGCATTTTTCGTATTATAATTTGTCTTAAAACTTTTATTTTGGTTCCTGAAATCGGAAAACCCTTCTTTATGACCTACTTTATGGCATCTTTGACATGAGTGTTTTTTAAACGAACAAAATTTTGCAAAATGTAGTTCGCGGCAATACCAGCAAGGGTTGTTTGGAACCGCGTTACCATCCTGGAAATCATTTGTATATTTCTCATGTCGAAACGGTTTATTGTTGGGCTTGAACTTAAAATTTTGCTGGAAGCCTGACTTTGGTAAATGTTTATTTCTGATCAAAATGGCATTTACATTGAGAGACGGATCTTCAATCATTTGGGCGTCCTTCTTTATATTTTCAATCCTCGGATATTCAGAAATTAAACTTTCTAATGTATGTTGATCATTGCTATTAGAATCTAATTTGTTTAAAATTCTGGTTCGTATTTCACTATCTATACTCGATTTTAAGCCACAAGTAAAAATTGAACATTTAAATGCGTTTGCTGTGATTTGATTTATTTCGGATTCTTGACACATTTTGTTAACACGTGAAGCAAATGCGATAAAATCATCCGATTCATTTTATTTCAACTTCATGCATTGGTATCTTGTGTGAAAAATTGTAGTTTTTTTACCAAACAACTGGGTTAGTTCGTCCACAGTTTCACTGAAGGTTCAATCTTTAATCGATTTCCTTAGGTAAAATGAAATTGACATGCCTTACATGCATTTGTGACTCCAATTTTCTTAGAAGTCTTACTTTTGCGGGGACTAAAATATTTTTTGCATCTTCTGTGAAAAGGCTTTGATATCTTTTGTCCCATTCCTACATCAAAAGTGCTCCTTGTTTCCTGATCATAATGAAATATGAAATTCTGTGATACCATTACCCAGAGTTTCCATCCGAAACTCTTCATTTGGTTTCACTTGATTTTAAGGTAAATTTTGGAAATTTGATGAAAACCCCCAAACCCAAAAAATCTTGCTGAATTTTGATAAAAAAATCTTGGTGATTCTTTAGGAAAGTTGTGAGAACTTCTGTCATTTGTTCCATGTTCATGATCCTACCGACTGCGCCAAATTTTTGTAGTTCGGATTAACTACAACAATATTTGTATTAAATTCAACTGCAAAATACAATGACAATCAATGACCAAAATCAAACTTGACTTGCTGGTTAACGTACTTTCAGGTATGTCCTGGTACTGTTTCCTAACAATAATTAAAGTAGTAATATACCATAAATAAATACGGATAATCAAGTTTTGCACGAGCGTCCATGTTTCCAGTGACGTATTATTGATTTGCCATTCAAAGTGAACTAGTGTCAGCCTTTTATTTTCCCGAAAATAGATGAAAAAGCCAGTGATTAAGTTGTGAAGGGAAGTATTGCAGTTCCCTTAAGATAAAATGTTACATCCCATTCGGCCCTGAAGGACTTTTTGTGCTATGGTCGTCCTTCAAACTTTGAGCTCAGTACACAAAGACTCACTTCTTGGCCTAATGAACTAAATATTTATTACTAGTTGTTCCTCGCGGTTTCACCCGCCGTTTAATTTGGAAGAAATCGGATTGTTGGAATTTTTGAAAGATTTTCTTTTCTGTGACAAATCCGCTTTTAATGAGTCAGTGAGTAAGTGAATGAGTTAGTGGTAATTCTAGATATAGGCGCACAAATTCAGCTTTATTATGTTTGAATTTTTATATTTTTAAATAAATAAATTGAATTTCTATATTTTCCAATAAAAAATAATAGTTACGTCGGTTGAATGCGCTAACTAAAATAAATGTGGCAAAGTTGTTTCATGTTGATGTCAAAAAAAAGTTCAACAGTGCGTTCGAAAAGACACCAGATAAAATTTACTTTTCTGGGGGTCAATTTCTCGATAGTGAGTCACCTCTGGATTGGTTTTAACTCCAGGGCAAACGTGTCTCGTTGAGATGTTCACCCTGGAGTTATGCTTAACCCGGGGGTGACTTGCTTTTGAGAAACCGGCCCTGATCACGTGATATACCCACTTTCACCCTTTGGGTGGGTACGATTTACTCCTTTTTCGAACGCACTTCAAAAGTTGGGTTGTGCATGTGCATGAGTTTGTTTATAATTAATTGAAAAATATATATTTTTTTTCAATGTTCTTTTCTATTATAAGGAAGGTGTCCTATTTTATCACTTATTATACTCTAGAAAACATGTGTACAAAATTTCATGATGATCGGTTTAGTAGTTTACTCGGGAAAGCGTAACAAATAAAGAGACTCACATTCGCATTTATAATATTAGTTAGGATTGTACCTGTATTTTCATTTTAACTTCAATGACTCTTCTCAACTTTTCTGCTGTATCCTAATTATACGAGTTTTATTTGTTAACATTCTATATAGACCAGGCAAAATTAATTTTTCCAATGAAGTTCAAGGGGACAGTTTTTTTTCAATGGAAATCGATGTATTATATGTCCAGGAACAAATATATAAAAATCCCAAAAAATCCATTGTGAGCTAAAAACGCCATCTTGAAAAAACATGGCCGTCCGTTCAAATATTCAAAAATCAAATATCTTCTTGTCCCTGCTTGGAGTAATTTTAACAATTTTTTTTTTCACGGTATTTTGAGCTTAAAGTTACAAAAAAATTAACTTCTATTTTGGATATGACCAAGAATTTTTTTATGGCTGAAAAACTTAGGAAATATAGAATCAATCATGAACAATACGAAATCGCGCGCCTGCCTGCTCGTATCGGTTGCGTTTATTAATAAAAAAATGTTCAACAAGGTTTTAGAAAAGCAAAAACCGACTCATCGCGTTTTGCATGAAAATTTGTGTGAACATAGAACAAACACCCCCAAGTTTGATTTCGAATGCCTGTCTACCTAAATCAGTTGCTAAATAGCGCCTGTCAAGTAAAATTCGACTGAAATTTTTCCCAAAATTCGACTCATCACGTTTCGAGTGAAAATTAAATATATCACAGTTAAAGGCATCAGAAGAATATTTCTGACTGCCTGTCCGATCAAAGCCGTTGCTTTCTAATGCCTGTCTGGTCCCAAAGTTCGCAAAGTATAAAAATATGACAGGTGGAATACTCAAATTTACAAAATAAAAACACATGGACAGAGATGCACAAATAACAATGATTTCGTTGCAATGCTGCCAGGCTTTTTTGACGACTTCCCTTCAAGTGAGTGACGAAAACCCTTCAAAATCCTTCAAAACAGTGGTGGTTGCCGTATATTATGCAATGATCATGTAATGATAGCTATTAATACACGAACATTTTGTAGGATACGAAACGAGCCGTAGGCGAGTTTCGTTATATAAGATGCGAGTGTATTATTGGCCATTACATGAGAGTTGCATATACTATTTTTTCTACTTCCATTAACAAACGAAATATATATTTATATTAAAAATAGTAAACTTCTTAACCGGTGACAATTAATTGTTGACAACTATTGACAATTTCGAAAATTAAGATCTGGACGTCATTTGGGGATAAATTCTGCACTCGATTTATTAATTTGTTGTTGTTTCTTCTGGTAAATACTAATAGAAACCATCCAAAACAAGTCTGTTATTTTTATATAAACATTGTTCATATTTGTAGGAGGCCTTAGCGAGATTTAATATATATCTTTATTGAAAGTTCACTCAGTAATCTGTAATATCCACTTTTGTAAAAACTTGTATAAGCTTGACAAACTCTAAAAAATTATCTGTCCCCCGGACACACATCTCGGACAACTGCTGTCACAGAATACATATCCTCACGGATAGAAGGCAAACTGCCTAATAAAATTTTGGGGAACAATGCGCCGTCACGGCGCTGTGGATGCGATCCGAACTATTTATAATATAGGTTT